TTTTTTCACATAAATTGCAATTTTGACAAAAAAAATCGCATAACTCAAAAACAAAACAATATTTCGTTCTGAAATTACGATCAAATTTTTTATATTATTTTAATTTATATTAATTATTATTTTCCGGAGGCAAATGATTAAAAATAAAACCGCTTGGTTCCATACTTTACATTCACCCTGTATATTGCAATTTTGATAAAAAAAATGCATAACTCAAAAACAAAACATTTTTTTTTTGTCAAAATACGATCACATTTTTATATTACTTCATTTTAGATTAGGTATTATTTTCTAGAGGTAAATGATTAAAAAAAAACGCTTAGTTCTTTACTTTATATTCACCCTGTATAAAACGAATTCGAAAAGGAAACACTCAGCAGGATACTAATTTTTTGAGTCCAGGTTGTTTTCTCTTTAACATATTTTGTAATCGGATATTTTTTCTTAAACTGTCTAATTTTTAACTTGACTGAAATTTTAATCAGAAATTTGTGATTTGAAGAAAATATGCAATCTTTCCTAAAATATGCACGAAGTTGCCAAAATATGCATTTTTTAATTGGCCTATTTAATAAAAAAAAACATTAGATATGCACAGGAAACTTATAATTTTGTTCATAGACCTCTTAATAACAAATATGCAGTTTGCATACCAGGTGAATAAAAAATATGAAACCAAATGTTTTTTGCTTAAACTATTTATTTTTTGAAAAAACTAATTGATGAGTGATAAAGTACTATAAAAATGTGATGATTTAACAAGAATACATTTCTTACAAATTTCCTTTTGTTTTTGAGTTCTACAAAAAAAAATATTTTTTTAAATGGCAACCCACTATAAAATCATTTTTCTCATAAAAGCTATGGTGTAAGGATTACAACTATCTGCTTTATATTTAATTTTTTCAAAAAAAAATTTTCACATAAATTGCCATTTTGACAAAGAAAAGTCGCATAACTCAAAAACAAAACAAAATTTCGTTCTGAAAATACGATCACATTTTTTATATTACTTTAATTTATATTAATTATTGTTTTCTGGAGGCAAATGATTAAAAATAAAACCGCTTGGTTCCATACTTTATATTCACCCTGTATAATCCGAGCCTTAGTAATAATCCACAAAGTTGATTGCAGTAAATGTCTGATTCATAAATCACGTTGTTAACGACGAAAATAGTAGTTGGTTATCGATGAAAGTTTCCAACTGGAAAATTAAGTAGATTAATTTATTCGATTTACTTTGCTTAATATTAAAATTTTAATGTTTTGATCCCTTCTGTTCAAAATACTGCAAAATAACAGTAAAAATTGTTTTTATCGGTGCAGTACAGATAAGGAAAACAGTAAATTTCAGCCACCAGTTTTATGAAAGTTTTTAAATAAAAGCGGTTGAGAGAATTCCCGATAAAGTTTATAGCGTCCACAAAGTGCTGTTAATGGTTGAGGATTTTAAGTTTGATGCCATATCAGCAAATCCTTTGTATGTTGGAATTTAAAGGGTTTCATATCGATATTATTACATCAAAAATTCCGGACAGATATTAAAATGCGAATAAAAGTCATTTTTATTCACTTCTGTGAAGGATTTTCACCCTGACTGACTTCTACTTTCCAATTTGTATCACTTTGAAACGTTTCAAATTTTAAATTTATAACGATCGGAATCTGTGTTGAGATTTTCAAAAGAACAAAACAAAAGAAACAAAAAAAACAGCACAAAAACTCAAAAACGGAACACTATTTTATTTTTTGACTTATCTCTGCAAAAAATTAACACTGGTGTAGTTTTTAATTTTATTTTTGAAATTCGATAACGGAAAAGTCGTGAAAACTGGAAAAATTTATTTGCTTGCTATATTAATCTGTTTAGATGACCACAAACCCGAAAAGATCATTTACTTATTGCATTAACAATATTGATGGACAAACAGTTGTAAATTGGGACAACAATTTGCGATCCCTTTGTAATTGTCGCCATGCATGATTAATGCCTTCTTATGGGAGATGTTTCGTAACTTACGGCTTTCCTAATGAAGATACATGCTTGAGGGACGATAAACTTACTCAAAATTGTGCATTATTTATCGTGTGGGAAAGAATGTTTGTTCTTTTTGAGTTTTAAAATAGACTTCTTTCTCTAAAATAATTTGAATAAAAACTACATTTTTTACAATTTCCAAAATGCTGACATTTATTTATTTGGGCGAAGTTCAACTTAATCCAACACAAAATGTAAGAAAAATGAATTTAAAAAACAGTTCAATAAAAATAAGGAATACAGAGTGTTCCGTCTAAACCCCACATTAAAAGTATTGAGAGTTTGAATAATCATATTTATTTGAAAATTGGTACATAGCCATAATGCATTAAGTCCTCCTAAATGAAAATATTTTCAAAATGGCGGAACTTCCGGTTATAGCGGAAGTCGGTCTCAACTTTCTTATTTTAAGGGAGTTTTCTTCAGCTTTCCCTATACTTAAATTTAACCGTTTTTGAAATATTTGGAGAATTTTTGGATATGCACCTTCCACTTTAAAAATCGGTAACTGTGCTATTTTTTAAGATTTTGAATTCGTTTTTTTGGCGTTTGAAGGAGAAAGTTTAGATCTTTCTTCCGGTGTTTTCAAATTTTGAAAAAACAATTAACAAACCCTAAAATTTTAAGGTTACTTTTGTTATAATTGAAATACCCATAACTCATTTTTTCCAAATGAAATACCCCAATTTTTATTCTACTAAAGGGAAGAGAATTTAATTCTGCATCGATCTGTATTAACATTCCCTATACCTAAATATAATAATTTTTAAGTTATGGTGACTTTTTGTTAAGACTGCCGAAAATCTATTACAACCACATCCGTTTTCATATAGTTTGCCATGGAAAAAAAATTGTTTAATATATAAATTTTCTGTAATAATTAATAATAATAATAATAATAAATAACAAATTCTGTAATAAATTTTCTGTAGTCTTATCCTTAAAATTTTGGGATATGTTTATTTTTTCAAAATTTGAAAACACCAAAAAAAGGATCTAAGCTTTCTCTTTCAAACGCCAAAAAAACCAATTCAAAATCTAAAAAAATGCCAGAGTTACCGATTTTTAAAGCGGAAGGTGCAGATCCAAAAATTTTTGAAAAACTCCAAATATTTCAAAAACGGCTAAATTTAGGTATAGGGAAAGCTGATGAAAACTCCCTTAAAATAACCCAGTTAATCCAAAAACGCAGTAAAAAATATACCTTTCCATTTAAAATAAGAATGTTGAGACCGACTTCCGGTATAAACGGAAGTGCCGCCATCTTGAAAATATTTTCATTAAGGAGGACTTAATGGCTATGTACCAATTTTCAAATATATATGGTAATTCGAACGCCCAATACTTTTAATGTGAGGTTTAGACGGAACACCCTGTATAATGTATTAAACAAAAAGAGAAAAACAACAGAAAAAAAACAAGTAAAAAATGCCAATTTTATAATGACAAATTTTTATTATTTTATTATAAAAGACAATCAATTTTCTCTCTTCATAGTTCAGTATGCAGACAACTTTTTACTAATACGAATATCTTACTTCATTTTTATGGCTTTACATTGTGTGAGCTTTATAGCTTACGGCAGATTCTCTGGTTTCATATCTCAACTCCTCTATTTTCAGCTACAGAATTGTTTGTAGATTTTAGAGTTATTAGACATATAATAAGACAACTTAACAATCACAAAGCTTTAATCCCTTTGGGTTGCAAAATATTATGACAGAAAACTGTTTAACAACAACCTAGATTATACCGTGCGATCCGATCAAAAAAAATTGAGTAGGCGGTGATTAAAGTCCTTCAGATGGCAATCCTGATTTTTGACATCAAATGTCAGCGGAAACTTTGACAAGTTTGAAGTTGTGAAGTTATCAAATTATCTTAAAAAAATGGAAAAAGTTTGATTATACAGAGTGTTAACTTTTTTTCAAAATTTGAAAACACCAGAAGATCTTTCAAAAAACGAATTCAAAATTTTAAAAATGGCAGAGTTGCCGATTTTTAAAGTGGAAGGTGCAGATCCAAAAATTTTTGAAAAACTTCAAATATTTCAAAAACGGCTAAATTTAGGTATAGGGAAAGCTGATGAAAACTCCCTTCAAATAACCCGATTAATCCAAAAACTCAGTAAAAAATATACCTTTCCATTTAAATTAAGAAAGTTGAGACCGACTTAAGGTATAAACGGAAGTGCCGCCATCTTGAAAATATTTTCATTTAGGAGGACTTAATGGTTTATGGCTATGTACCAATTTTCAAATAAATACGATTATTCCAACTCCCAATACTTCTAATGTGAGGTTTAGACGGAACACCCTGTGTAATAATTAACTTACCATCGTCTGTGGTAACAGTCTCGATAGCCAGAACCGAAGCCAACTGGCGTATCCTTGAGCCCGACACCATTAAATTACTTTCAACACCAGAAAGAGCATACCATCTAAAAAATTGAAAAAAACAATAATTAATATTTATCATGGAATTTCGCACATTCGCAATGAAATGTTGATCTAGTAATTAACAAAAAAACAGAAACAGACAGCAAATATTTCAAATTACCTGTATTCTGGTGGCGGACATGCATGTGCAATACATATTAATGCTGCACCTTCATCCTGTGCAACAATAACTGTTCCCGAATTTTCCAGCATTACGGGAGAAACGATGCCCCGATTTTCTGAAACGAAAAAACAAAGAACGCGATTAAAATGTAAAGTGTAGAAAGCCTTAAATTGATTTCATTTAACTTAATGTTTGCTGGATCTGTTTTATTCCAACAAAATCGCTTTTTTCTCCATTTTGAATAATAATTTTGCAACAGACAAATTTCTCATAAGTAAAACACAGCGAAACTCATTTAAACTTTTCAAATTTGAAGCCAACGAATTCATTTGAAGTACAATTTTTCCCGATACCTAATTCAGTGAAACTAGAAAAAAAGAGGTTTTTCAGTGTTAAATCTACATATTTTCTATTTCCATATTTTATAACAACAAAGAACTACATCTCGGATAAGTAGACAAGGGCCAAGTAAAAAGGATCTTAACTTTAAAATTTAAAACAGCCACCTGTCATACGTGTGTATTTTTAAAGAATAGCTGCTTTAAAATGCAATGGGTGTTATGCGAAATATTCAGTGAATGTAACAATGTTTCACTTTGGGGAGTTTTATTATTTTTTACTATTATGTGAAATCGAACGAGTTTAAGAGAAATTGTGCAAGAAAGACACTTCTACTATCCTTTGTTTTATATTGTCTGTCTCAAAAGTAAGAATAATAACACTTAAAATGAAACCACAAAAAGGAAATGAGAAAAATTATATCCCTTCCTGTATGGGTATTTAATTAATTTCTACTCTGGCAGAATTGCTGGAATAAACGTTATTCTCATAGTCTTTCTTAATAAAAAAGGTTGAACTGATTTTTACCACGATGAGGATAAAATTACTACTAAAATTTTTTTGGGTCACTTTTGATATTTAGTAGTAGTAGTAGTAGTAGTTAAATAATAATTCATTATATTTTAAATTTTGAAGAATATTCGGATAGTTTCTTTCTCAATTTCATTTGAATTGTATGTAAATATTTAACAAATTTTGTGTAAAAAGGCCAAAACGTTGAATTTGAAAAGTGAATATTCCAAAAATGACGAATTTCAAGTTTTTTTAAGGTTTTGTCCATTGAAAAAATACGAGAGTATACAATTGACAATTTAAAATAAAAATAAACAAATAAACTTCTCCACAAAAGTTAAGAAAGTGTGCAATAATTATTTAAATTAATAAATTATTAAAAAATAAATCAATAATTAAATAAAAGTAAGATAAAGGCATATATTTTTTTACTTTTTTGTTTATGCTAGATTCCAGTATGTTTAGAAGATTAAAATTTGTTTGTTGTAAAAATAGCATGACTTCGTTAACTGTTGTGGAGCAGTATATTTCTTGTTATTTTAAATTTTATAAACTAAAAAAAATAGTTACTTATTGTACAAGACGATAAACAAATCATCAATTTATCGTCGTGTATAATATTTTGTTTTGTTTTGCACTCACCTACCACAATTTTTTGTACAAAATAAAAAATATAAACAGTAAATAAAAATTACTTTATTTCACTAGACGATAAAAGAACTCTTTAACATTGAGTACAAAATAAATATAATTAATTGCGTCATAGAGAGTGTCAATAATTTTGTTATTCAAAAAGCAGCAGTAATTTTTGATCGCTTTTAAAAATGTGAAAATTAAAAAAAAGATATATAAATAAATAAAAAAAAACTACAAAAAAGTAATCATGAGAGCATAAAAAATCCAAAAAACAAAGGAAAAAAATATTTTGCGGAAGAACTTTAAAAGGCTTAATTTAATTTGATCATTGTTTCTAAATGGTATTATACAGGGTGTCTTAAATCTTAAACTAATACTCCTATTATACTGGAACTTGTAAACGAGCATTATTAGTTTATGCAAAATTTTATAAAACAGCAGTAATTTTTTATCGCTTCTAAAAAATGTAGATATTAAAAAAAACTGTCATGGTATTTAAATTAAAGAAAAAGTTACAAAACGTCAATTCATTGATTGTTTCATTGTATGAAAAATTAAATTATAAAAATCTTTAACAAGCTTAGCGTAAAAGACCAAAACGTTGAATTTAAAAAGTGAATATTTCAAAAATTTGAATTTCGTATTTTTTTAATTTTTGTCTTTTGAAAAATACACCGAGAGTATACGAATGAGATTTTAAAATAAAAATAAACAATTATTTACTATCTCATTAGTTGAGAGGGTATTTTGGTGTTGGATTTGAACGTTTTTTAGGATTTCTTGTTATTTTTATTTTAATAAACTAAAAAAAATATAATTATTTGCGTCAAAGAGATTGTTCTTTTTAATATACCCACAAGGTCAATAATTTTGTTTTTCAAAACGTTATTATACAAAGTGTCTTAAAAACCTCAAACTAATGTTAAACTTATCAATGAGGCTTATCACCTTATCCAAAATTTTATAATGCAGCAGTAATTTTTATCGTTTTTAAAAATGTGGATATTAAAAAAAAAAGATACATAAATAAATTAAAAAACTACAAAACGCCAATTCATTCAAAAAATTTAATCATGAGAGAAAAACTCAAAGAAACGTGCTTATGTCATAAAGAAGCATAAAAAAAATACAAAAAGCAAAGGAAAAAAAATATTTTGCGGAAGAGCATTAAAAGGTTTAATTTAATTTGATCATTGTTTCTTTAATTATGAAAATTTATTGAAAGTTTATTAAATATTTCAATAAAAAATCTAAAAGCATACATTTTGTACTTATTTTTGGTTTTTATTTTTATAATTACCAATTATTTTTCATTTTATCTTGACAAAATGTCTTTATTGTGGGTATTCTACGAATCATTATCGTAAATTCAAATCCAGAAAACTTTCCCTGCTGTAGTTGGGTAGATTAGGGTAAAACTTAGTATATAATTTTGCTTTCCTAGTATGATTTTAATCCAAGTTTACCAAAATTTTATGAAACAGCAGTAATTTTTTATCGCTTTTAAAAATGTGGATATTAAAAAAAGAAAATCTGTCATCATGGTGTTTAAATAAATAAAAAAGTTACAAAACGTCAGTTCATTGATTGTTTCATTGTATGAAAAATTAAATTATAAAAATCTTTAACAAGCTTAGTGTAAAAAGCCAAAACGTTGAATTTAAAAAGTGAATATTTCGAAAATGACGTCAAAATATTGTGAATCTTTTTCAAAAATTTGAATTTCGTATTTTTTTTATTTTTGTCTATTGAAAAATACACCGAGAGTATACGAATGACATTTTAAAATAAAAATAAACAATTATTTACTATCTCATTAATTGAGAGGGTATTTTGGTGGATTTCTTGTTATTTTTATTTTAATAAACTAAAAAAAATATAATTATTTGCGTCATAGAGATTGTTCTTTTTAATATATCACAAGGTCAATAATTTTGATATTCAAAACGGTATTATACAAAGTGTCTTAAAAACCTCAAACTAATGTTATACTTAAACTTATCAGCTTATCCAAAATTTTATAAAGCAGCAGTAATTTTTTATCGCTTTTAAAAATGTGGATATTAAAAAAAGATACATAAATAAATAAAAAGCTACAAAACGCCAATTTATTTAAAAAAATAATCATGAGAGAAAAACTCAAAGGAACGTGCTTATGTCATAAAGAAGCATAAAAAAATACAAAAAGCAAAGGAAAAAAATATTTTGCGCAAGAGCTTTAAAAGGCTTAATTTAATTTGATCATTGTTTCTTTAATTATGAAAATTTATTGAATATTTTTCAGATATAGATATTTTAATAAAAATATTATAATTCAGTATTTTTTCAATAAAAAATCTAAAAGCATATATTTTGTACTTATTTTTGGTTTTTATTTTTATAATTACCAATTATTTTTCGTTTTATCTTGACAAAAAGTCTTTATTGTCTAATCCAGAAAACTTTCCCTGCTGTAGTTGGGTAGATTAGGGTAAAACTTAGTATATAATTTTGCTTTCCAAGTCGATTTTAATCCAAGCTTTACGTTTGTGTGAACTTATTAAACTTTGCTTCCAATATGTTTTGATCCCTTTTAGCATCCAAACAAGGAACAAGCATTTCCAACCGATCAGTTTGTCAAGCGAACTTCAACTCAATTTCACGTATTTGGTGTTGACAACTTCCATAATAAAACTTTCGAGAGACACATTCCATCAAAGTAAATAAAGTTTCTCGAACAAATTCAATAATACGCCATTTAAACTAAGTTGTAAATAAAAATAGTTGTGTGCTAGGGTGACTTACGATTAAGAAAACTTCTAATATAGTCGTTTGAACAGCAACAGGTGAGTGTGGTGGCAAACTCCAAACATTGTATCAATGGAGGATAAAAGGGGCGTTTACACAAATCATTCTGCTGTTCCATAAAAACTGAATAGTTAATGAAACCAGTTGTTGCTTCGAAAATAAGCCATCGGAAATTCAGACTTGTTCTCGCATCAATCTAATTGTGTAAAACTTGTTGCACTTTTCATCGATTCTTCGAAATAAAATGAGTGACAGACTTTGGTACGAATGCCACTGACAGATTTCAATCCGAGTTTCCTTCCAGTGATTTTCAATCATCGCAAGCGTGGAAATTTCTTAACTTTTTCCTCTCTCTGAAGTTGATCTATGTAGGCCGTGATAACTTTCTTTCGGTAACAGATTATACACGTCTCTGGCAATTTTCCTTCTTTGGTCTAATACTGGAAATTATTTCCAAATTGCAGAAAAATGAGCAGAGAAAATTTTTGCAAATATTGCAATATCTGGAAAATGTTCAACGAGTAAATTTTCATGATAGTTTCAATTAAGGAAACTGATCAAACTAAATTAAAGAAATATTTTCGTTTAGCTTCTGAAAAATAAAATTCCTTACATTTTTCCTTTGCTTTAGTGTTTTTTCAGGCTTCTTTATGACATAAGCATGTCCGTATAAACTTTTTCTCTCATGATTATAATTTATACACCATGATGACAGATTTTCTTTTTTTAGTATCCACATTTTTAAAAGCGATAAAAAATTACTACTGTTTCATAAAATTTTGAATAAGCTAATAAACTAACATTAGTAAACTTAAACTTGGATTAAAATCATACTTGGAATGCAAAATTATATACTAAGTTTTACGCTAATCTACTCAACTACAGCAGGGAAAGTTTTCTGGATTAGACAATAAAGACTTTTTGTCAAGATAAAACGAAAAATAATTGGTAATTATAAAAATGAAAACCAAAAATAAGTACAAAATGTATGCTTTTAGATTTTTTATTGAAAAAATACTGAATTATTACAATATTTTTATTAAAATATTTGAAAAATATTCAATAAACTTTCAAGATATAATTTCAATTAAAGAAACAATGATCAAATTAAATTAAGCCTTTTAAAGCTCTTCCCCAAAATATTGTTTTTCCTTTGCTTTTTGTATTTTTTATGCTTCTTTATGACATAAGCACGTTCCTTTGAGTTTTTCTCTCATGATAATTTTTTTTTATTCTTCGACACTGTTAAAATTTACGGTTTTTCTCCCGTGTAAGGAAGTTTTGACAACTGTTTGGCATTTCTCAATACAAAACGTCAAATTATTTTTAACAGATTTAAAGCAAGTTTAAGCCTTGTTGACTATAATTCGAAGAATAAAATGTTGTGTTCCACTCGTTTGAGTGTAAATTGGACGCTTTATTCCACCTCGTGGATGGTAAACCACTCGTTACATTCGTGGTTTAAAAATCCACTCGGTCAAATAAAGAGTCCGATTTACACTCAAACTCGTCGAATAAATAACTATTAAGGAATTGGCGTTTTGTAGTTTTTTTATTTATTTATGTATCTTTTTTTTAATATCCACATTTTTAAAAGCGATAAAAATTACTGCAGCTTTATAAAATTTTGGATAAGCTGATAAGCCTCACTGATAAGTTTAATTATAACATTAGTTTGAGATTTTAAGACAATTTGTATAATACCGTTTTGAATAACAAAATTATTGACCTTGTAGGTATATTAAAAAGAACACTCTCTTTGACGCAAATAATTATATTTTTTTTAGTTTATTAAAACAAAAATAACAAGAAATCCTAAAAAACGCTCAAATCCAACACCAAAATACCCTCTCAATTAACTAGATAGTAAATAATTGTTTATTTTTGTTATAAAATGTCATTCCTATACTCTCGGTGTATTTTTCAATAGACAAAAATAAAAAAAAAATACGAAATTCAAATTTTTGAAAAAGATTCACAATATTTTGAATTTTACACTAAACTTGTTAAAGATTTTTATAATTTAATGTTTCATACAATCAATGAATTGACGTTTTGTCACCAAAATGACAGATTTTCTTTTTTTAATATCTACATTTTTTAGAAGCGATAAAAATTACTGTTGTTTCATAAACTTTTGGATAAGCTAATGAGCTTCATTGACAAGTTTAAGTGTAACATTAGATGCTTTTAGATTTTTTATTGAAAAAATACTGAATTATTACAATATTTTTATTAAAATATCTATATCTGAAAAAATATTCAATAAATTTTCAAAATTAAAAAAAACAATGATCAAATTAAATTAAGCCTTTTAAAGCTCTGCCGCAAAATATTTTTTTTCCTTTGCTTTTAGTATTTTTATACTTCTTTATGACATAAGCACGTTCCTTTGAGTTTTTCTCTCATGATTAAATTTTTTTAATAAATTGGCGTTTTGTAGATTTTTTTATTTATTTATATATCTTTTTTTTAATATCCATATTTTTAAAATACTGCAGCTTTATCAAATTTTGTATAAGCTGATAAGCCTCACTGATAAGTTTGATTATAACATTAGTTTGAAATTCTAAGACACTTTGTATAATACCGTTTTGAATAACAAAATTATTGAACTTGTAGTTATACTAAAAAGAACACTCTCTATGACGCAAATAATTATATTTTTTTTTAGTTTATTAAAATAAAAATAACAAGAAATCCTAAAAAACAGTCAAATCCAACACCAAAATACCCTCTCAATTAACTAGATAGTAAATAATTGTCTATTTTTATTTTAAAATGTCATTCGTATACTCTCGGTGTATTTTTCAATGGACTAAAATAAAAAAAATACGAAATTCAAATTTTTGAAAAAAATTCACAATATTTTGACGTCATTCTCGAAATATTCACTTTTTAAATTCAACGTTTTGGCCTTTTACACTAAGCTTGTTAAAGATTTTTATAATTTAATTTTTCATACAATCAATGAATTGACGTTTTGTCACCAAGATGACAGATTTTCTTTTTTTAATATCTACATTTTTTAGAAGCGATAAAAATTACTGTTGTTTCATAAAATTTTGGATAAGCTAATGAGCTTCATTGAAAAGTTTCAGTATAATAGGAGTATTAGTTTAAGATTTAAGACACCCTGTATAATACCATTTTGAATAACAAATTATCGATTTTGCATATTTAAAAAACGCAAATAATTAAATATTTATTTAGTTTATTAAAACAAATAACAAGCAATATTAAAAAAATTGCCTTCGGTAAACCTAAAACTCTCAGTTAACGAGATATTAAATATTTGAAGAGTTTTTTTTAATTATTTTAAAATATATACAGAGTGTACTACGTAAAACTTTCGGGTCTAATATCTCTGTTATTTGCCAAGGGATTTTGATGAAATTTTAAATGTAGACAACTTAAAAAAAATAATTTTAGCACATATTTTCTCAAGTTAAAATTAAGCCAGACTACACAAAAAGTTATCACAAATTACAAATTATTGTAAATATAAACGTTTAATTTTTATTTTTTAGAAAGGGAACAAGGTTTGTATACTATTTTATTCAGAATTACATTTCGTTT